AATTCCGCGAGGTGTTCCACAACGAACTGAAAACGCTCAAGCGCGAGAGTAATAACATCAAGAAGCGCGAAGGCGAAGTCAACATCGACGAGGACCAATTCGGCGACTACCTGTCCAAGGACGAGGACGAGGACGGATCCGACGCAACAGACTCCGCAGCGCTGGCCCTGGCCAGACGTCTAACCCGTCAATCCAAACGTAGCAGGCGAGGCGCCGCTCGCAAAGACACCCAAACCGCAGACGCAGTCACCGCCGACACGCCCAGCACCGTCCAGGTCCACGGAKGCGTCTCCCTCCTCGGCGGCTTCCCATCCCTCGCTCTCCGCCAACGCCTCCTGCACCTCCTCTCCGCCGTCTCGGAGGACCTGCCCGCCTCGTTCACCACCCTCGAGGAACTCTACCACCTTTTCGTCGAAAATATCCGCCACCTGCCCCTCCCCATCTACCAAGCCTTCGTGAGCCCCTTCGTCCTCCCGCATTTCTCCGCCGCCGCGCAGACCACCCTCTGCGAGTTCCTGCTGTTCCGGATGCGCGAAAACGCAGCCCCGGATACAGACGAGGAGTATCTGAACCAGGCGAAGCTGGAGGAGTGTTTCCTGCCGTATACGGCTAGCACGCCTAGCATCGTCGACAATGCCAAGATGTCCATCGCGCTGGAGTCGCTTCTGGTGCTCCTGGCGGACAGTGATATGCTGACTGCCACGCCGGAGCTGAAGGCTGCCGTGCAGGAGGGGATCATGGCCCGTGCGGAGAAGGTCCAGGTGGGAACGCGGAAGAACCAGAGTAGTCGCAAGACGGAGGATATGGAGTGGTGCTGGCTGCTGGAGAGTGGAGAGCGGTTGATGTTTCTGGTGGATGAGGTTCTCTCGCGGAAGCGCCCTTCTACGAAGTAGTTGTTGTTCTCGGCCCGCTTTTTCTATATCTTTATGTCTCTATTTTCATGATACCCCTGCCTCGCATTAGCCTTGTCTAGTGTTGACGTTCAAATTGATTCACCTAAACATGGTATCTAAAGTTAAATTGCCTATGTACAAATGATCGGGAGCAAATCGAGGTTGAAGACAACAGCAACTTCAAGTAGCGCAGTATAACAAGGTAAATCTGGCCATGCCATTTATGGCGGCGGGCGAGGCCCGATGATCTGCCGCCTTGCTCCTCCTACACCCAGGCCGGGTCCGCCTCGATTCTGGTTATCACCACCCATGTAACCGTACTGGTGCACATCCCAGGCGCCCTGGCCCGGCCCGACGCCAACGTTAGGATCTTTCAGACCTTTTGCGGCTGCCTCGCGTGTCTGCTTCTGAGACTCTTCCCACTCACGCTGGCGCTCGCGCTCGCGCTCCATCTCCCGCTCCAGCAGCGACTTAGAGGCCCACCCGCCTGCTTTTGTCTTCTGCTGCGCAGCTACTCGGCGGCTATTTTCTTCGTCGACTTCGGCGGTGGTGGTGTAGTCCTGTGGGCGGTGAGTCGCAGGCTTAGGGGCAACAGGTGGTCGATTAGATGCGAGGAAGCGGTCGACACGGCTCTCCTGGTCCTGGGACTTGTTGGCATAAGCGGCTGGGTCGGGGAGAGGCCGAGGCGATGCTGAAGAGCTGAATTCGGCCGCTGATTGGGGGGTAGTTGGTTCTGGAAGTGGTCGGGGCGGCATCGCAGGCGGCGCATTGCTGGGCTCGGATTCGGCAGTCTCATCGTGGGCTTGATGCTTCTGCCATTCCGTACGGAGCATTCGTCGTTCTTGCTCGAGAGACGAAAGGCTGTAGCTTGGCTTTGGAGGAACAGGCACAGGGCGGGGACTCTGCGATTGCGGCTTGCCTGTTTCTTTCTCCTTGAGCTCCTGACGCTCGCGCTGATACTGGCGCTCCCGTTCCTGGGCGAGTTCCAGCTCCCGCTCCAATTCCTTGATGCGCTGGCTTTCCGTGGACTCCCCAGCAAGGCCAGCTTGGTATTGACTGAGAAATTGTCCTGTAAGTCGGACATCACCAGCCTCCCGCTGACTCTGCCTTGCTTTGTTTAGTCTCTCCTCTGCCTCCTTCTCCTCCTGTTGGCGCTTCCGTTCCTCTTCTTCCCACTTTCGCTGTTCCTCGTCCCACTGCCGACGCTCCTCCTCCAGCCGACGCCGCTCCACCTCTTTCAGACGAGCGGTCTCTTCAGCCCACCTGCGTTCTTCTTCCGCCTTGGCGCGCTCTTCCTCCGCCTCCCGCTCTTGACGGCGGAGGCGTTCAGCATCTTCTCTCTCGATGCGTTGCCGCTCCTCTTCCTCCCGCCTGCGCCGTTCCTTCTCTTCCAGGCTTGGGACGAACGGCGAAGGTGTCGTGATCTGTCGACGAGCGCCAAAGGCCACTCCTTGGTTGCCCTGACTGGCACCGCCCATGTACCCATATTGATGGATATTCCAGGCCGGCATTGTCACATGCTCGTCTGACTTCTTGCTCCAGCTGCTAATAGCCGGCGACTTGGCTGGGCTAGATGTTCCAGAATTGTTGCTGACATTGCTGAGTCCTCGAGATCGTAGAGGAGTATTGGCCGATTGACTTGAGCCGGTCAAATGAGGACTCACGGCGCCGCCTTTGCTCTGAACGCCAATTGCTCGAGGAAATTTGCTGGGTTGAAGCGCATTAGCCCTCCTACTAAAGGCCATCAGACACTGTAAGACCTGCGCGGGGTCCTTTGATTCGTAGAGATCGACGGTCAAAAAGACATCGTGTGGCGGTAGACTGAGAGGTGGTATTTGACATGCGCGTAGGAAATGCGAGATGTTTTCCATTTGTACGAAGGGCATAGATGACTGCTTATACTTGACGCCGGGGGKAACGGCGAGGTTGACGAGCCTGTAAAATTCCATCCAATCAGTATTTATTCGCAGTGATTCCTGCACGGAGATACTTGCCTGCAAAGCGCGACGCCATCTTTGAGCGCATCCAAGAGATCCCCTGCTGGAAGTTTCTCATGAAGCGTCTCTTCAATCCATTCGCGGATCTCTGCGGCAGCCTGCGGGGTATAGCGGGACAAGCGCAAACTGCGCAGGTCCTTATCTAGTGATGTAACTGACGCCATACCGGGCTGAATAGAAATCAATGTGACTCTGCAATCATACGGAAGTTCACTAAAGACTCGAGGAACCAGGATCCGAAGACCGAGGGATGTTAACCCCTGTTTATGCTGCCCGACAGGAACGGTGGGAAGAACCGCGGGTCTATGTGGGCTTCAAGGGGTAGCGTAATAGGGGGGAAAGAGGTTCTAGAAGAAGCTTGATTAAGGGGGGTTATTGAGAAACGATGAGCGGAGACCCTATGTATAAGGAGTTGAAGATGGAAAGTGACTCTACAAGAATAGAAGTGATGGTGAAATAAAGAACTTCCGAGAAGAAGAGGAGGCCTAGATAGTTGTCGCTGATCTATGGAATGGAATGTGGTTGTTGGCCAAACAAATTACGCCTGTTGTAATAAATCCCAATACGATTACGAGCACTGCCCGATGACGTTTTTCTGCGCCCTCAATATTATCGATAGCCTCCATCTACGTCGCAACACAGCAAGCCACGTTTACATCGCGCCTAATCGGTGTTTGTTCTAGGCTGCCATCAATAGTTCCATCTCACCTGGGTCCTAATGAGTCCAGTGAACAGCTTGTGGTTCAAGTGGAAAAGCCTTCGATTGCCGTGGCGAAGATCCTTCCTTGTCGGTTGGTATCCCCAGCACTAACAGTCTGTTACTACGTTGCCTCCAGGTCCTCTGACAATATATTTCAGGCACCGACTTATCCGGAAACACATACTGGGAATTCAAAGACTCACTGAATGCCGGGCGATACCGACGGATCGTCAAGTACAACTCCAAAACCCACTATGCGGACGTGCAAGTGACTCGTGAGTATCCTGATTAAAACAATGGGCAGTGAACTTGTCCAGGTGAGCTAACAGAAAGTGTTTACAGCCCAGTGGCACCAATGGCTCCGATACGTCCGCGCCGACCCTCCGTCGCTTGAAGAACAGCAGCAGGATGTCCTCCGCCAGCTTCAAATTAAGCAACTCGCCCATTTAGCCGATTTGCGCTGGGCAAGTAAGCCCTCCTACCTCGACAAGCCGCAAACTCATCAGCCAGGGCCCGCGACCAAAACAAGCGATGCCACATTGCATCCACCGATGGGAGCAGTTGGCGAGGGTCCCAAGATGCATAACGCAGTGTCCGGCGCTGAGACGACAAAAGCAGCGGGAACGACGACACCAACACCTGATGTGGCACCGACGGCGAAAGAGGATCCTTGGGCTAAAGCTCGAACGAGCGACAGTGAGAACTGGCAGCCAGAGTCATGGACGCCGTCTGCTTCGCGGAGGTGATTAGGCAAACACTAGTCACTTTCATTCTTAACTTCTCCAGATCCTTTTCCTCAGAAAAGCTGTTCGAGCTTCTGTTTATATTCAGTCGGCAACCTGGCGTTTCACTGCACATTGTTCAAAGCATTTGGGGGGACTTTTTCATGTCTGTAATATCCCTGTCACCAATTTTGTGGAATGCTCTCCACCCTGTATAATATACGACATTTATTTAACACCAGCTTTGTCCATATAAACTATATGATTGTACTGAGATCGACATCCCCTTGAAGGGAGTCGGAAACGAAGCCTATGACATTGTACATCTGACAGGCCTAACCCTAACCGGAAACCTCACACCGGCAGCACGCGTGCGATGAGAACCTGCTCAAAAGTTGAGCAAGTAATCCTTAGAGAAATCGGACAGCTAGTCATAATCTTCAAGAGCAAAGAAGTAGAATCTTCGAGAAACATTAGGATAATGTATTCCATGATTAGGGGTGTGTGTGTGTGTGTGTGTGTATCAAAAAGCTGTGGAAATCTAAGTACGCTTTTTGTAACCCACCTCCGCCTGAAACAATATGCAAATTAAACGCCCAAACGACCATTGCCAATAAATTCAAACAGGTATAGAGCGGGGAAAAAAAATCACTATGTTAAACAGATATTAGGTATACATGGGTAGGATTTAGCAGAGGACAGCCTCGAGTGCTTCGACATCTCCGCCAGCCTTTCGTACTGCATTGATGGCAGCCTCGCTGAGCTTGCGGCGTCGATCGCGGGCCTCCTGTTCGCGTCTTGCTTTAGTCTTGGAACTCCCACTTGGGGCGACTCCTGTAAGGATTTTCTTGCTGTCGTTTGGAGTGAAGTTGACAAACGACACTGTCAGTGACTTGTTGGATCCCGCTCGGGGACTAGAGTTTGGCCCTTTGACGGGCTTAGGTGCGCTCATTGATTGAGAAGACAACTTCCTGCCATGGTTGCCGCGGCGGTGAGGACTAGTCTTTGTATGGACTCCGTTACGCAAGGGTGATCCTTGTGTTGGTGACCCGCGGCCTCTTGGAGACAAAGATGGTGATCGTGACGGATGTTGAACAGGAGGAGTCGCGTAAGCGGACGAGTTCATATACTTTTGAGGAGTGATGGGAATGTGGTTGTACGTATTTTGATTCTCCTGGGGCATAGGGGCCGAAGCCACGGCAGACGAAAATGATGGGTCTGCCGAGGTAGACACATCAAAAGATGAATCAAATTGGATCATCAATCCTCCCTGCATCAGATCATGCTGGCTATTGCTTTGAATGGACCTTTGTGGAGCCGGAGAGGACACCACGTGCTGATATGAAGGTTGTCGTGGTACCCGAGAGGGCATGGATGGCCACCATGCTTGACCATCGTGGCCTTGGAGGTCAGGCGTGAAAGGGAGTGCAGGGCCCCCAAGGGAGTCGGAATGCCAAGAGGACAAGGATTGAGGATCAGAGGAATGTGGAGAGGAAAATATGTCGTCGCCTGAAGGGGGGCTCGATGTGGCCATCGTGGAATTATTCGATTGACTTAAATAGTTCTGCTGCTGCTGCTGCTGCTGCGCTGCCAGCAACTTGGCTGACGGTGATGGCATAGAGATGGCCGGTGACTGGTTAAAGATACCAGTCTCGTAATGAGAAGGCATCTCTGCAGGGTTTCTCGACAAGCCCTCGGTCGAATGGCTTAAACGGGTGACAACATTGTCTGCAGGAATGTTCTCATGCTGCACAAGGATATCAGAGGGAGGGGGTGACAGCGGCAAGTGCTCGTCCGAGCTATGAAGACTGAAGTTCTGAAACCGCTGAGCCCATGCTTCGGGATACATCATTCTGCCTGCCTGCAGCTGGGAAGGGCGCATCAAGCTTGGGGAGAAGCTCTGCTTGCGCAGCGGTTTACGCTCATGGGAATCTCGGTGACGACGGATAGATTTCGGAGTGACCAGAGCACTTTTGGTGGCTTTGTGGCGGGGAGTTGCGGGAGGAGTGGAGGGTGATCGCGAAGATGCTTTGCAGGTAACTGCAGGGGCGGGGTGTGAAGTAGGAAGAGCTTCAAGGTGGAAGCTTAAGTCTGAGACAGCTGAGGGATGCACAGTGTCCTGAAAGGTAAAGCTGCCTTGACTGGCAGATGAGGCTGCATCTTGCGGTACAGACCATAAGTCTGCGGCCCAGGGTTGCGGTGACTGATGGGTGGGTTTGGTGGGGACTGGGGGAGAATGATCGCCACAATCGCTCGACAACGAGTCAAGAGCGAAGATTTGGTCAAAGTCGCTTGCAATTGAGACATCTTTGTTGCCATCGACCATTGATGAATCCATGTCGACATACTGACTGAACAAATCATTGAAGGCATGATCGAATGGTTGAGCGAACATCTTTGGCTGCTCGGTCTTTCCGTTTGCGGCAAAGAGCTGAGAAGTGTCAGAGACTGGTTGACGGGTGCCAGGCGGATCAGATATGATTGGCAAGGAGACTGCGGGAACAAAGAATGGTTCAAAGAGAGTTCGGGTGTCGATCCGGTGTTCCGTTAATGCAAAGCATAAGCAGTATGGCTATGGTGGAATGCAATGTATGAATAGTTTGATAGATTGACAATCAAAGAAAACACTGCAGAAGATGCAAAGAAGACAAAGCAAACAAACAACAGACAGACGGCCCTATTTGAATTGTCGCGATGGCTGCCAGCCTCGAGGATTCTGCGCACATTCCTTCTGCTCTAAAGATGGGAGAGGAATGTACATTGAGGAGTCGGGGAAGCCTCGATATGGCCCACCTGATCCCAGGTGGGTGATGCGAATGATTCAAGAGAGCACCCCAGACGCCCGTAACCAATCAGAAGGAGTGGAAAATCAAGTGGCTGATGCAAATATCCTACCCTCATCCACTCTCTGGGCGAAAGTGGACTGGGTTGTTGTTGGCCACCCGCTGGAATGCAACCCTCCCTATACCAGAACCAGAAAGAGGAAGAATCAACAGAAGAGGAATGTGCGGTTCTCAGCAGCCGGGTATAGTGCACCACCTTGGGGAGAGCTTATGACAGCTGCTCGATAGCGGTCCATGKGACGAGAGACGATCATGGGAAGTCCGTTAGCTTGAGCGGTATGATCCGTAAGGAACCAGAGCAGAGTATCCACGATGGCAAAATGCCAATATCGGCGTCCATCTGGTCAATCCCGAGTGTTCAAAAGTGTAAGCGTCATACGGTTTTCCTACACCGTCAGCACGCATCACAAACACCACACTAGACAGCATAGGGCCACAATGCCCTGGTCTTCTCCTTTGACTCTTTTGGATCCTGCTTGACAGTTGATGTTTCAGTGGAGCTGTTGGTTAGCAATGATTCGCTCCCTTCAACGGCACAGCCGTCGATAAGCTTGTTGCGAATGTGTCTCGGAATGCGAGGGCTGGGAAGAATGCGCGCCCACAACAACAATGCAAAGAAACGACTTGGCTTTCGGGGTTTAAGGCGCACACACAGTTCTAACAGCAGTCAGTCTCGAGGCACGGCCTATGAGAAAGGCCTGTGTGATTGTCCTCATGCCAAATTTTTTAAAATTATCCTGCTCTATACACGTAACGAATCTCCAGTATACTGGTGAGGGAAGAATTAGATTAGGGGATCTTCGGACCTGAATCTCGGCTTAGATCGTAATGGCTTGCAGACTTTGCCATGTCAGAGGTGATTTCAAATTATTTAGAAAGGTACTCAATGAGAATCAACCTTTAGGAGGCATGAACCCACTGTGCCATGGGGTGATGCGTTCTTTGTTCTCTGCGGGAAAGCAACTCATGTGGTTGGCAGGCCCAGTAAGTATGATCCGTAGAAGGAATCTCGTATCAGAGTTAGGTTGTTCTCCCCAGCCGATTTCTTTGTTCTCCAAAGTCTTCTTTGTGTCCCATAGCCATGTGGTAACTGGGAAGCTCCCTGCTACGAGGACACACATGATGTTCCGGGGTTGGGAGCCGATCTTGCGGAGTGACTCTTCAGTCCATTAAACTCGAAAGAGCGAGGGCTAAAGATAGGACAAAGGTTCAGAAACCAGAATAGAAAGTGCGAGCCTTTTTTTGGCATTTTCGAGACTAGACCAGATCTGTCTGAAAGCGTCACTGAATGTTCTGTCAGAGTTGAGAAATTAGGTTCTTGCAAGGGGGGATCATCCGTCAGTGGTTAGGTAGTAACAACAGCAAGCCACAAGAAAGAATTCCATGGCTAGGGTTAGTAGCTTGGTGTCAACAAGGCATAACCACTGTTCAAATTGTGTGAAGCTTAAACCCTCAAAGAGAGGGCAATAGAGCACGGTTTTATTATCACGAAAGAAACATCTTCGATGGATGGGTAGGCTTAGTTCTCCGTAGAGGGAAATACTTCGAGTCATGTAACAATCTGCTGTGACTTAATATGAATATTGGGCCGGCAGCTCTAGTAGAATTCAGTTATGGTCAGCATTTTCAGCGGCAGAGATTAGTGTGTGTTCAATAACATTCTTGGTGATATCTCGAATCTGTCTCAAAGACACTCATGATCGTCAGTATCTAATAATGGACAAATCGAGTGGCTTCGCAGAAAGTCACGGAACTCATCCTTCTTAATACCGGAGGAAATTTACTCCGGCTCATGTCAGCACTGCGGCGGCTAAGCCAATTGTGGGAAGCGTCAGGCTAATTGCATTGGGAGGCAACAAAAGGTCAGGTGCCGATGACGGAAATCTGACTCCTCGCAGCCGCCGCGTAGTTGACCTTCTTCCCCCCTTCTCCAAGGCACTGTATATTGTGCTGAACTTCCTTGGCTTATCCATCGCGTTTTCTCTGGCTCGACGTGAAGCGTCGATGTCAGTCTGTATCTGAGATTTCTCCGTACGAAAGCCGTCACCAACTTTCGATTGTTACCCCTCTGATCCCCGCTGTTGTCAGAACATCCCACGCAAGGTGGGTATGACTTCACAAGGACGACTTGGTGTCATCAAGTACTCAAACTGATCGCAACTGCTTGTATAAGACACAAACCGTTATTATCGCGATTGAAATACGCGAGGCAGAAGTTCTAGCAGTACGCAACGCGTTGTGCTCCCAACATACCAGCGATCTCGCGCCTTATTTCACTTCATCATTCTCTGCGACAGTCTATATGTCTTACACCAACCAGACTATCAGAACCAGATTTGTTTTGCAGGGCAGACAGGGAGACAAAGCGAATATTTCGATTAAACGGAAATCAGTCGATCACAATTGCATGCTCTATAATCATCATCTTGCTCGACTGGTCAAATAAAACTTCAATATCATCAGGTGCTTCTGCAATGGGTCTCAAGTTTATTCCAGCTGAGGGGGTCCTCGTCTGCCTCCATTAGGTGAATAATTAGATTCACACACGAGCTTCGCCATGGACTCCCACCGATTCTTCGGAGGCCTTCGAAGCCACACCTTGAGACCACTGTACTACCAACTTCTCTCCTTGCACCAATATCCAATCTGCGAACTTCTATCTCATTGAGACGAGGATCGCAATATTTTAGTCACACTGTGATTTTTTTGCGACGCAGTCTTGCCTACTTCAAGAAATTAAAGGCTATTCAGCTCACCAAGATGAGCACGCACACAGTGAATAAGAAGTCCTGGGAGTCTCTCTCTTCGACTTTCTCCAACCTCGAAATATCCGTTTCCCAGGACAGTTGTTATGCCTCGGACGAGCTCTCCATCAGTCCAACCAATCCTATCACAGCTGGCACGTCGCTAGCCTCCTCCTTTACGCCAGCCCGCCAGGATCCTTTGCAGTCGCTATTGAAGCCCATTTTGAAAAGGCCGTATTCTGATATTGAGGAAGATGAGGAACCTGAGTCTGGCTACGGGACAGACGATTCTGATTACGATTACGCTTCTGTGTCCGATGAACAGGACGACGAAATGTATGCGGTTTCTACATGGGACGAGGCCTCGGATGTCTCGGATGCCATGTCCGAAGCCTGCGGTGACGATGGTGAATCAGTGGACGGTTCATTCATTTCGTTCGAATCCGTGGTGCGTTTTGACACCAACGTGCGTTATATCGAGGCGCCAGAGCCACAAGAAGAAGAGGCCGAGATGCCGCGAACCGAATTAACCTGCCATGAATTAATGGAAATGGCGAGGGCATCTGGCGCTCTTCGGCTCCAGGGCGGACAAGCCGCCGAGTCTGATTCGAGTGATAAGACGCTCGAACATGATGAGCTCAGTGATTCAATCAAACAATGGCCAGAGGAGCACCCGAGTGATATTGTTGACTTGGATAAAAGACTATTCATTGCCTACATCAACGGCATCAACGGGATTGCCGAGCCCAGATACAAAGCGCGTCTCCGCGAAAGAATTGATGATATTAGAAAGGGACACACGCAATCTCCATACTTGGAGTCTGATAATGCGCCAGGGATGTACCTCGATAATGTACTGGACCACGTGCTGGGTACATTCCGCAACATTATTGTTCAGGAGGAGCTTGATGAACTGGCCACTCTCACTGAGCGGAGGGGATCCCGGCAACAGACTGAGGCGACTGAAGGACTCGATAACAAGCTATTGGATAAGATTGAACATCTTCTTTCTGAGAGACTGGCAGGGGATGATGTCAAAATCGGCCACGATGAGCTAAGCTTTTTCGCAGGCGGCGTTGCTTATGCCCTTCAAAATTGGGCCTCGTATAGAGCGCATTGAAAAGGACTGGTGGACCGGAAGCTCTTCTACGATGCTTGATAAATAAAAACAACGGCTATATTCACTCAAAAACGTTATGAAGTTATGTACATAAAAGTCCACGTCATTTCGGGTACTCGAATATCATTTGCCCTGCTTACTTTCATTGTGACTCCCTTTAGCTTGATTGTGGTGTATTCCTGGGACCGCTTTTTATTATAGAGACGCCTGTCCTTCCCTGACACCATCATGCAATGCGGCGTCGAAGACGGGCTCTAATCGTTAGACAGGCGGTTAACTAGGAACTATCCGTCGAGTCTCATAGCTCTACCGTCTACCATATCATAATGCCAGGATGTTCCATGACTCAACTTACATGGATCAACCCAGACACATTGATTAGTGACTGACCACATGTGGCCAAACACTGTGAAATGCTCCAAGATTGGTCAAAACAGGACCAAGTTCGACTTATGGCCCGAGGCTGATTCCAATTCAGACCAAGAAGATTGGAGGGTGCTAGCATGGTTCGCTCTCAAGTAGTGTTGGAATGAGAAGTGGGTTGCGTCTCTTGCATTTTCTCAGATTATGAGTAGTGTTATCTGGGAACCCTTGCTGGTGTATACCAATTGCGGCGGGCATATTGATAGAGAGTCTTCCAGCTGGCCACCGCGAGCCCTAGACGAAGCCGACTATTATCATTATGAAA